ACTCCGAAGTGCGAATTCTGATCGTCATGCTTGCGAAGGAGGAGAAGACGGAGTTTACGGTCAGAGGGGACGCAGATGGCATGAGGATCTACTTTGTGCCAGAAGGGAGGGTCAGAATAGTATGCTTTGTCGGAAGGGGCAGAATGGAGGTAAAAGTTATCATGGCGGTATCCCTTGGAAAATTTCTTGGTGAAGTCTGGGTCCCATGTCACGCTACCGACCACAGCAAGCTGAGAGGTTGGGGGACGAGAGACAACATCGGCAGGGTTTGTACGGCCAGCACGATACTCAATTTTCAGCTCTAGAACGTACTGGTCAAGCAATTTGTTATGTGATGCTATCACTTGCATTCACGTCTGTCTGCCTCCCATCACATGTTCGTGCGTTGCATGCGTGGTGTGAGCGTGTGCAAGAATTTGTGATTCGTGTGGCTTGGTTTTTCTGAGTGTGTGTGAATGTTATTTGCTTTGAGCAGATATCTGAAGTGACTCCTCTGCTCAAGAGCTTTCCGACGAACCAAGCATCGCCTCAATCGGAGCACGAACAAGAAAGTTACGAACGTTAGAAGTTCGTATGCTGTTGATATTTGGTTGTGGTGACTATCGAAAGTTGTGGGGTTGACTCCATAAGGGTTACAGAATTTTGGAGGTTGGGAAATTGAGAAAATTGAAACGAGAATGAATGAACTATGAATGAACTATGAATGAACTGAGTACAAGTACTAACCCTAATTGGGTTGTACCCCTTATGGACTACCCCACTATAGCCTACACAATAAGCACAAGCTATATGTTCTGACACACCCCCATAGGCAAAGTGGGGGAGAACAAGGGGTCACAAGACCAGTCAAGCAAAGCAAAGCAAAGCAAGCTCAGGGTGGATCACAAAGTCACCACACATTCCGAGCACAAGTTCAAGGCCACAAGGCTAGTTCACATGCAGGAGTACATATATATATAAGGCTAGACAAGCAAGAGCAGGTATAGATATATGTAACAGTACAAGCAAGGCCAAGAGGTGAGCAAGTGAGGCAAGACAGGTACAAGACCCAGCTGGGTGCAGAAGCGCTGATGATCACAAGGCGCAAGTGCCTTGGTGAAGACATCAGCAGTGTTGGCCTTAGAGGCCATGTACGCAAGCCGCAACTGACCACGCTGCTGTAGCTCACGAGCAAGAAAGTAGCGAAGAGCAATGTGCTTTGTTCTGTGCTCCTGTCTCTGCTCTCGACACAAGGCCAGCATGGCCTTGTTGTCTACGTACAGGACTGGAGGAGAACGAGGCGACTCTCCAAGGTCGGTCAACAGGTAGGTGAGCCAGCGAAGCTCCTGTGCAGCCATGGCCCCGGCGTAGATCTCAGCCTCACAACTGGAGCCGAGAACAGAAGACGAGCGAGTAGCCCGCCACGAAACAGAGCCAGAACCAAGGCTGAAGGTGTAACCCTGTGACAACCGCTGCGTAGCCTGGTCGTCAGCCCAAGAAGCGTCCGCGTGCCCAGTGAGGACTACTAGACTCCGCCCTCCAAGCACTAGTCCCATGCCCGACGTACTGCACAAGTAGCGCAACACCCTCTTCGCTGCAGCCATGTGCTCTGGTCTGTGTCTCCTAGGAGCAACATAGCGTGCGAGAATGCTAAGAGAGTATGCAAGGTCAGGTCGTGTGCAGGTCATCAGGTACATGAGGCAGCCAACAAGCTCTGGATACGGGCCACTCAACTCTACGGACTCATCCGAAGGCAGAGCTGAGAGCGAGTGGCGAGTAGGCAGAGGAGTGGCCTGAGGCGAGGAGTACGTGAAGCCGAAGCGCTGAAGGACCTGCTGCACCATGTGTGACCGAGTCAGGGTAATGGTGCGACGTGCTCTGTCCCGGGTGATCTGCAAGCCAAGGTAGCTGCGCAGCTCACCCAGGTCTGTGCACGTGTGTCTCTTCTGCAGCTCGGACTTCACGTAGGCGAGTCCAGTAGTGTCAGCTGTGGCAAATACCAAGTCGTCGACGTACACGAGGATGTAGAACGGCGGCAGAGAAGTGTCGGTGCGCAGAAACGGCGACGGGTCGGCAGTAGAAGGAGCAAACCCAAGAGCCGCAAGCGTAGTCCTCAGTGTGTCGTGCCACTCACGTGGCGCCTGGCGGAGACCGTAGACTGGACGCCAGAGACTCCACTGGGTACCAGGAGGGAAAGACCCAGTGAAGCCAGGTGGGCGGCGCAGCCAGATCTCCTCGTGCAGGCTGCCCTGCAAGAAAGCTGTGCTGAAGTCGAGAGAGTGCAGCTCGTAGTCACGGTGAGCAGCAACGTGCAGCAGTACCCGAAGAGTGGTCATCTTCGGGGTGGGAGAGAAGGTCTGAAAGTAGTCGACTCCCTGCCGCTGACTGAAGCCACGAGCCACGTAACGCGCCTTGAAGACAGGCGGAGAACCCGGCGGCCGCTTCACCCTGAAGATCCACATGCCACTGACGATGTTCGCCCCAGGAGGGGGGACAGCGTCAACGTAGATGCCTGTGGACTTCCAGGAAGCCATCTCTGCATCCATAGCTGCCTGCCACTGAGAAGAGTAGGGACCCTCTATCGCCTCCGCGTAAGAGCGCGGAGTCGGGATGTCAAGTGCATCCGGGTCTCCCTCAGGGGTAAGCAGTACGGACATGAGATGAGGTGAAGTAGCGGCAAAGCACTGGAACTCCTCCTGCCTGTCCTCAAGGACGTCCGTGCCAAGGGCACACTCACCCCTGACAGACGGAGGACAGACAGACTCAGACTCAGCGACAAGACTAGCAGCGTAGTCTAGGCGACAGCGAGCAGCAAAGTCAACGAGCTCAGCAACTAGGGCAGACGCAGCAGTGGACTCGAAAGAAGGGTCAGTGACGACAGTAGCCAGGAGACGCGTGACAGTAGGACTCGCAGCATGAAGAGAGTCCGACTCCGGGTCGGCAAGTGAAGGAAGAGAGGACTCAGGAGGAGAAGGCAAAGGGGCACGCAGAGGAGCAGTGGACGGACGCAGAGACATCCTGTGCGTGCCAGGGACAGGAGGAGGACGCTGACGCGAACCACGACCACTAGCGCGAGCAGCATGGACAGGCGACGCAGGGCGAGACGCAGGCTCACGTTGCTCAGTAGGACCTCCAGTAGGACTAGTGTAGAGAGAAGGAGCAGGCAAAGAGGAGGTAGGCTGCAACAGTAACTGTGACGGGACTGGCTGTGGACACTCTACAGAAGGAGGGGGACCAGTAGAAGGCGGAAGACCAAGAACCTGCTTTAGGAGTGGAACGAAGTACGGTCGAGGCCGCGCGGCGACGCTAGACACAGCAGGTACAGCACCAGTACCCCCAGCAGGAGCACCCGCTCCAGCTGCACCACCAGCAGCGCCAGAGCTTCCAGCAGTACCAGGAGTACCCGCAGCAGGACCGCCAGCAGTAGTCTCAGCTCCAACACCCTCAGCAGCACCAGCTCCAGTCGAACACGCAGGCCCAGCAGCTCCAGTACTCCCAGTACGAGCACCTCTGGGACCCGCGACAGCAGCACCCTCAGTAGCCGAAGAACCTCCAGCACCAGTAGCACGCCTCCAGCGCCGGGCAAACCACTCGCGCAGCTCCCGTGGAGAAAGTGGCTCCCGTAGAGACGAACCTCCAGGCGGAGCACCTCCAAGCTCAGCACCCCCAGGCTCAGCACACCCAGGCTCACCACCCCAGACTCAGCACCCCCAGGCTCAGCACCCCTAGTCTCAGTACCCCCAGGCTTAGCACCCCAAGGCTCAGCACCCCCAGTCGCAACACCCCCAGGCTCAGCACCCCCAGGCTCAACACCTCTAGTCTCAGTACCCCCAGGCTCAGCATGTCAGATTTATATGACATAGTTTGTGTAGGCTATAGTGGGGTAGCACATATGGGGTACAGGGTTTCTAGGGTTGTATTTGTACCCAATCTTCCATAGTCATTCCTGTTTTCCTTGTTTCACATGGTATAGAGCGGGTCCTACCTTAGGACCGGTTTTTTAGGGCCCACCGAAGCGCGCCCCGAGGCGCGCCTTTTTTTTAGCGACCCCTCGGGTCGCCTTTTCCCTCGCGGCCGCTGTCCCTCAGACGCGGCCCCGCCACCTCTCCTGATCGCGGCCCCGCCGCCTGTTTGACGCGGCCCCGCCGCCTCCCCTGACGCGGCCCCGCCGCCTCCCCTGACGCGGCTCCGCCGCCTCCCCTGACGCGGCCCCGCCGCCTGTGTGACGCGGCCCCGCCGCCTTCCCTGACGCGGCCCCGCCGCCTCCCCTGACGCGGCTCCGCCGCCTCCCCTGACGCGGCACCGCCGCCTCCCCTGACGCGGCTCCGCCGCCTCCCCTGACGCGGCCCTGCCGCCTCCCCTGACTCGGCTCCGCCGCCTCCCCTGCCGGCCCGCCGCTGCTCCTGCCGGCCCGCCACTGCACCTGCCGGCCCGCCGCTGCACCCAGCGGCCTGCTGCCTCTGACGGCCTCGCCGCTGCACCTGCCGGCCCGCCGCCTCTGACGGCCTCGCCGCTGCACCTGCCGGCCCGCCACTGCACCCTACGGCCCGCCGCCTGCACCTGCCGGCCCGCCACTGCACCTGCCGGCCCGCCGCTGCACCTGCCGGCCCGCCACTGCACCTGCCGGCCCGCCACTGCACCGGTCAACCCGCCGCTGCACCTGACGGCCCCGCCCCTGGATCTCCTGGCCGAGCCGCCCCAGCAGCCGAACCGCCCGTGAGCCGAGCCTCCCGACGCCGAGCCGCCCGGGACCCGAGCCGCCCTGCACCCGAGCCGCCCTGCACCCGAGCCGCCCAGCCGCCGAGCCGCCCGGGAGCCGAGCCGCCCGGGAGCCGAGCCGCCCGGGAGCCGAGCCGCCCTGCGCCCGAGCCGCCCAGCAGCCGAGCCGCCCTGCACCCGAGCCGCCAGGTCGCTGAGCCGCCTTTCTGCATACCTACTCGACCTGCCCTGCCTGGTGAGCACAGTCCCACTACCACTGCGAGCTCTTTCCCTGCTGCTTGCACTGCGTCGCTGTCGTCGCCATGGCTACCCCTAGTGTCCTAGCTTTTGACGCTGAGGGTCGCGCCATTGATTTTGAGGTCTGGTTAGACGACCTGCAGCTGTTCTTACAGTGCGACAGGGCTGACGACCTTTCTCTCTTTGATCTCACCTCTGGCGCCTCTCCTGCTCCTGCTGCTGATGCTGATCCCGCTGTCCGCTCTAAGTGGGCCACCCGCGATGCTGCTGCACGTCTTGCTGTGCGTCGCCACCTCCCTACCTCTGAGCGTGCGCACTTTAGTCAGTACAAGAGTGCTCAGACCTTGTACGACGCTGTAGTTGCGCGCTACTCCTCCCCTGCCACTGCTGCACTGAGCCGTCTCATGCTTCCCTACCTCTTTCCTGACCTCTCTGCCTTTCCCACTGTCGCTGACCTCATTACGCACCTCCGCACTAGTGACACTCGCTACCGCGCCGCCCTTCCTGCTGAGTTCTGCGCTAAGAACCCCCCCCCCATGTACATCGCTCTCTACTACGTAGTCGCGCGCCTCCCTGACTCCCTTCGCGTCGTCAGGGACCACTTTCTCGCAGTCTGTCCCACCACCCTCACCGTCGACCTCCTCGAGAAGGCCCTCCTTGCAGCGGAGAAGAGCATAGTCGCTGTAGGTGCTTCTCGTGGTGACCCTCGCACCCCCATCTTTGAGGGGTGCTCTCCTTCCCCCTTGCTGCCCTCTGTTGCCTCTGCTGCTGCTGCCGACCTGCTTGGTCTTGAGTCGGTCGGCGCGGCGTCTGCCCCTAGTGGGAGACGTCGCTCCAGCAAGGGCAAGGGGGGCAAGGGCGCGGGTGGAGCTGGAGGGGGGGGTGGCGGTGGCGGCGGTGGCGGCGGAGGGAGTGGGGGTGGCGGCGGGACTAGTGGCGGGGGTGGTGGTGGTGGTGGTGGCAGCAGCGGCGGAGACGGTGGTGGTGGTGCCAGCGGTGGTGGTGGAGGCAGCGGCGGAGGTGGAGGCGGCGGAGGTGGAGGCGGTGGAGGCGGCAGCGGAGGAGGCAGTGGTGGTGGAGGAGGTGGAGCTGGTCGGGGTGGTACCCAGCAGCGTAGCGGCGGTGGTGGTGGCCAGCGCTCGCACCGGCAGCAGCAGCAGCGCTCGCGGGACATCCCTTCGCCTCAGCAGCTTCGTGAGTGGTACGCTGGGCGTCAGAGGGGTGGGGGTACTGGTCCCTGCACCTACGTTCTTCGTTCCGGCGACCGCGCGGGGTGAGCAGTGTGGGGGTGCCCACGCCACCCAGCGCTTCTTTGGCCGCCTGACGGACGCCTGGCGTCAGCAGTTCCCTGGGGCTAGTGAGATCCCTCGCTGGGATGAGCTTCTCAGGGCTGGTGTAGCGATCTTTGATCTTGATTTTGATGCTATCCTCACTGCTATGTATGTTGTGGATTATAGTGAGGAGAATGAGGGTTACCGTTGTTTCCAGCCCGACCCGGGCATTGGTACTGCTGCGCTAGGTGCTTGTGAGGCTGCTGCTCTAGGTGCCAGTGCGTCTGCGCTCTCAGGTACTGGTGAGACTGCGCTCTCAGGTACTGCGTCGTCCTCGTCCTCCCTCACTTTCACACTTGACTCCGGAGCTTCTCGCTCCTTCTTTCGAGACCGCACTACCCTTACGCCGCTCGGCCGGGCCGGTTGCAGTCTCCCTTGCTGACCCCTCTGGAGGTCCTGTCCTGTCTCACTTCTCCACTGTCCTCCCGTGTCCGGCTGCCCCTTCGGGCACCCTGTCGGGTCTGTACCTTCCCTCGTTCTCCACGAACTTGGTGAGTGGAGCGGACCTGCAGGATGGGGGTGTTCACCAGTTCACTCCTGCGAGTCAGCGGGTGACCCACTGCACGGAGGCACGCACAGGCCGACACCTGGCCACGTTCTCGCGTCGGCCGGGGTCGAGTCTCTACCCCCTGACCGTTGAGTCTCCTCCTGTCCCTGCGTCTGGTCAGGTGGCTGCGTCGGGTCAGGTACTTGCTGCTGCGTCCCGGTCAGGTCCTGAGTCTGCCCCCTGTTCTTGTCGCCTCCTGTCTCACGAGACTCTCCTGTGGCACCACCGTCTTGGCCACCCCTCCTTGCCCCGTCTTCGGAGCATGGCTTCCCGTGTCCTTGTCTCTGGTCTTCCCTTGTCTCTCCCTCCTCTCCCCTCCGGGCCAGGACCTTCCTGTGTCCCCTGTGTCGAGGGTCGCCTCCGGGCTACTCCTCACTCCTCCCACTTCCCCCCGACAGAGGCTCCCCTGCAGACGCTTCACATGGATGTGTGGGGCCCAGCCCCCGTCCGTGGGCAGGGTTACGAGCGCTACTTCCTGTTGGTGGTTGACGACTACTCGCGTTACACCACAGTCCTCCCCTTGCGCAGCAAGGGTGAGGTCACTGAGGTACTGATCGACTGGATCCGCGAGGCTCGTCTCCAGCTCAGGAAGAGCTTCGGCTCGGACTTTCCTGTTCTGCGTCTGCACTCTGACAGAGGCGGAGAGTTCTCTTCTCGCCTTCTCCGAGACTACTGTCGCGCACGGGGGATCCGCCAGACCTTCACGCTTCCGGACTCACCACAGCAAAATGGGATTGCTGAGCGCCGCATTGGCATGGTCATGGATGTCGCTCGTACGTCCATGATGCATGCGGCTGCCCCCCATTTCTGTGGCCGTTTGCGGTGAGGTACGCGGCGCATCAGCTCAACCTTCACCCCCGGGTCTCTCGGCCTGCGATGTCCCCAGCCTTGCTGTGGACGGGGAAGGTTGGCGATGCGTCTGTGTTCCGTGTCTGGGGATCTCGGGCGTTTGTCCGCGACTTGTCTGCGGACAAGCTGTCCCCTCGTGCTGCTCCCTGTGTCTTCCTTGGCTTCCCCACTGACGCCCCAGGGTGGCAGTTTTACCACCCCTCCTCTCGTCGTGTTCTGTCCTCCCAGGACGTCACGTTCGACGAGTCAGTCCCCTTCTACCGTCTCTTCCCCTACCGCACCCCTTCCCTCCCCCCTCCCCCGGACTTCCTTGTGCCGGTTCCCCCCCCGGTAGACCCCCTCCCCCCTCAGGTTCCTGCCCCCTCAGGTGTGTCCCAGGTAGACGCCGTTGACCCGGTCGAGGTTACTGGTGACTCTGGTGCTGCTGCGGGTGCCGAGCCTGGGGGTGCTGACTCTGGGGGTGCTGTGCGCGGGGGTGCTGAACCTAGGGGTGCTACTGCTGGGGGTGCTGGGCCTGAGGGTGCTACTGCGGAGGGTGCGGAGCCTGGGGGTGCTGAGCCGGGGGGTGCTGTGCCTGGAGGTGCTGGGTCTGGGGGTGCTGGGTCGGGAGCTGCTGAGCCTGGGGGTGCTGTGCTGGGAGCTGCTGAGCCTGGGGGTGCTGCGTCTGGAGCTGCTGAGCCTGGGGTTTCTCCTGCTGCTGCGTCTCGCCGGGAGCCCCTCTCTCCACAGGAGCTGCGCGAGTGGTTCGCTCGCCGCTGCAGACGTGCTTCTGCGTCTGGAGGTGCTGCTGGAGCTGGAGCTGGAGCTTCTTCGACCGTCGAGGGTGCGGGTGCTGCCGGTCCAGGAGCTGCTGGACCTGCGGGTCCTCCTGGAGCTGGAGCTGCTGAGGGCGCTGGTGCTGAGCCTACTGCTGTTGGTCCTGCCGCTGGAGGTGTGGGTGGCGCTGGTGCTGTCGCTGAGGGTGCTGGTGCTGTCCCTGCTGCGTCTGGAGCTGACGCGCGGCCTCGGCCGTACTTCGTTCCGCTCCTGCAGCAGGTTCTTGGTCTTTCTCCTCCAGTAGAGGGTCCACCGCCTGTCCAGTCGCAGTCCCTGCTGGAGCCTTCCTCTCCACTGCCTGCTCCCTCTCCTTACACTGGTCCTACTGGAGGTCTTGCTGAGCGTCGTGAGCCTGCGTCTCGTCCCGCGTCGCCTGTTCGCACTGCTCGCGCTAGTGGTCGCAGTTCGCGTCAGCGTCCTCCTCCTGTCCCTGGCACGCACCGGATGTCTTTGCGTCCGTCCACTGCTCCTCTGCGTGCCCCTTTGCCTTCTCCTCCTGAGTCCTCTCTTCCTGCGCTTGCCGACCCTGAGTCGGACTCTCTTCGTGCTGCCAGTCCTACTGTCACGCGTCTGCTTGCTACTGTCGTCACTGACCCCTCTTTTGAGTCCACTGCTGCGTCTGCTCTAGTCGCTGAGCTCGTCGACTTTGCTGCTCGCTGTCGTCTCGACTACGCTGCTAGTCTTGTTGCTGAGTCTGCGTCTGTCTGTCCTCCGTCCGTCGGGGGTGAGTGTGCTCTTGGCACGGACGTCCTAGAGGACAGGCAGGAGGAGTTACAGTGTCTAGCGGCTGCTTCACCTCATCTCGCGTCTGTACTGCTTGCCCCTGAGGGAGACCCGGATGCACTAGACATCCCGACTCCGCGTTCTTACGCGGAGGCCGTAGAGGGTCCCTACTCCTCTCAGTGGCAGGCAGCTATGGATGCAGAGATGGCTTCCTGGAAGTCCACAGGCACCTACGTTGACGCGGTTCCCCCTCCTGGGGCGAACATCGTCAGTGGCATGTGGATCTTCAGGGTGAAGCGGCCGCCGGGCTCTCCACCTGTCTTCAAGGCACGGTACGTTGCTCGTGGCTTCAGTCAGCGGCAGGGAGTTGACTACTTTCAGACCTTCTCTCCCACCCCGAAGATGACCACTCTTCGGGTGCTGCTGCACATAGCCGCTCAGCGCGACTACGAGCTTCACTCTCTCGACTTCAGCACTGCGTTCTTGCAGGGTAGCCTGCACGAGGAGATCTGGCTTCGCCGTCCACCTGGCTTCACTGGGACTTTCCCTCCTGGCACCCAGTGGAGCCTCCGATGGCCAGTCTACGGTCTCCGTCAGGCACCGCGTGAGTGGCACGACACACTGAGGACTACGCTTGCGGCTCTTGGGTTTGCTCCTTCTACTGCTGACCCGTCGCTGTTTCTTCGCACCGACACTTCCCTGCCGCCGTTCTACATCCTCGTGTACGTCGACGACTTGGTCTTTGCCACAGCGGACTCTGCTGGACTCGCCTACGTGAAGTCCGAGCTGCTGAAGAGACACACGTGCACAGACCTGGGTGAACTGCGCAGCTACCTTGGCTTGCAGATCACTCGGGACAGAGCACGCCGCACCATTACCTTGACTCAGTCACACATGGTGCAGCAGGTCCTTCAGCGCTTCGGCTTCACGTACTCCTCGCCTCAGGCCACTCCTCTGCCTACTCGCCACTCACTCTCAGCTCTGCCTTCGGATGAGTCCGTAGAGTCGAGTGGCCCGTATGCAGAGCTTGTTGGCTGCCTCATGTACCTGATGACCTGCACACGACCTGACCTTGCATACCCTCTGAGCATTCTTGCTCGTTATGTTGCTCCTGGGAGACACAGACCAGAGCACATGGCTGCAGCGAAGAGGGTATTGCGCTACTTGTGCAGTACGTCGGGCATGGGGCTAGTGCTTGGAGGGCGGAGTCCAGTGGTCCTTACCGGCCACGCGGACGCTTCTTGGGCTGACGACCAGGCTACGCAGCGGTCGTCACAGGGTTACACCTTCAGCCTTGGTTCCGGCTCTGTCTCGTGGCGGTCTAGTCGCTCGTCTTCGGTTCTCGGCTCCAGTTGTGAGGCTGAGATCTACGCCGGGGCCATGGCTGCACAGGAGCTTCGCTGGCTCACCTACCTGCTGACTGACCTTGGAGAGCCGCCTCGTTCTCCTCCAGTGCTGTACGTAGACAACAAGGCCATGCTGGCCTTGTGTCGAGAGCAGCGCTTGGAGCACAGAACGAAGCACATTGCTCTCCGCTACTTCCTTGCTCGTGAGCTGCAGCAGCGTGGTCAGTTGCGACTTGCGTACGTGGCCTCTGAGGCCAACACTGCTGATGTGTTCACCAAGGCACTCGCGCCTTGTGACCATCAGCGCTTTTGCACCCAGCTGGGTCTTGTGCCTGTCTTGCCTCACTTGCTCTCCTCTTGACTTCACTTGTACTGTGACATATATATATGCCTGCTCTTGTTTGTGTAGTTTTATATATATGTCTGTACTCCTGCATGTGAACTGGCCTCTGGCCCTACTCTTGTGCTCGGACTGTGTGGTGACTTTGTGATCCACCCTGAGCTTGCTTTGCTTTGCTTGACTGGTCTTGTGACCCCTTGTTCTCCCCCACTTTGCCTATGGGGGTGTGTCAGATTTATATGACATAGTTTCTGTAGGCTATAGTGGGGTAGCACATATGGGGTACAGGGTTTCTAGGGTTGTATTTGTACCCAATCTTCCATAGTCATTCCTGTTTTCCTTGTTTCACACAGCACCCCCAGGCTCAGCACCCCCAGAGTCAGCACCCCCAGGCACAGCACCCTCAGCAGCACCAGAGTCACCAGTGACCTCGACAGGCTCGACTGCGTCTACCTGGGACAACCTGAAGGGGACGGACCCTGAGGGGGGAGGGGGTCTACCGGAGGGGGACCTAGTAAAAGAAAGACCGGCGGCGGGGGGAGGGACGGAGTGCGGTAGGGGAAGAGGCGGGGGTAGTAGGGGACCGACTCGTCAAACGTGACGTCCTGGGAGGACAGAACACGGCGAGAGGTGGGGTGGTAGAACTGCCACCCAGGCGCGTCAGGGGGGAACCCCAGGAAGACGCAAGGAGCAGCACGAGGGGACAGCTTGTCGCAGACAAGTCGCGGACAAACGCCCGAGATCCCCTGACCCGGAACGCCGACGCATCGCCAACCTTCCCCGTCCATAGCAAGGCTGGGGAGGTCTCCGGCCTGGAGACCCTGGGTGTAGGTTGATCTGATGTGCCGCGTACCTCACCTCAAACGGCCACAGAAAATGGGGAGCAGCCGCATGCATCATAGAGGTACGAGCGACGTCCATTACCATGCCGATGCGGCGCTCAGCAATCCCATTTTGCTGCGGGGAGTCCGGAAGCGTGAAGGTCTTAAGGATTCCTCGTGCATGACAGTAGGCCCTCAGAAGGCCAGAAGAAAACTCTCCGCCTCTGTTAGAGTGCAGACGCAGAACAGGAAAGTCCGAACCAAAGCTCTGCCTGAGCTGGAGACAAGCTGCGCGGATCCAGTCGATCTGCACCTCAGTGACATCACCCTTGCTGCGCAAGGGGAAGACTGCGGTGTAACGCGAGAAGTCGTCAACAACAAGCAGGAAGTAGCGCTCGTGACCCTGTCCACGGACGCGGGCTGGGCCCCACACGTCCATGTGAAGCGTCTGCAACGGGGCCTCTGTCAGAGGAAACTGGGAGGAGTGAGGGGCAGCCCGCTGGCGCCCCTCGACACAGGGGACACAGGTAGGGCCAGGGCCCTGAGGAAGGGGAGGGAGGGACCGGGGGAGGCCAGAAACAAGAAGACGGGAGGCCATGCCTCTGAGCCGAAGCAGAGAGGGGTGACCAAGGCGGTGGTGCCAGAGGAGAGTCTCGTGAGACAGGAGGCGACACGAGCAGGGGGCAGACTCAGGACCAGACCTGGACGCTGCAGCAAACACCTGACCCGACGTAGTGACCCTACCAGACTCAACTACTGGGGGAGACGCAGTGGTCAGTGTGTACAGGCTCGACCCGGCTGACAGGTAAACATAGCCAGGTGTCTGCCTGTGCTAGCCTCTGTGCAGTGCGTCACCCGCTGACGCGCAGGAGTGAACTGGTGTACTCCCCCATCCTGTAGGTCAGCACCACTCACCAGGTTCGTAGAGAACGAGGGGAGGTAGAGACCAGACAGGGTGCCAGAGGGAGCCGCCGGACACGGGAGGACTGTGGAGAAGTGAGACAGGACAGGACCCCTAGAGGGGTCAGCGAGAGACACCGCAATCGGCCGACTAAGCGGCATGAGTGTGGTGCGGTCCCGAAAGAAGGAGCGAGAAGCCCCAGAGTCAAGGGTGAAGGTGAGGGAGGCCAAAGCCGACGTAGTACCTGAGAGCGCAGACTCACGAGTACCTGAGGACGCAGACGCACTAGCACCTAGAGCAGCAGCGTCGCAAGCACCTAGGGCAGCCGCCTCACCAGTACCTAGAGCAGCAGTCTCAATGCCGGATTGTTGGTGCAACCCTACGGTTTGCACTCGGCTTGTTGTCCGTGTGCGTGCATGTGTGTGTGTATGGAATGGTATGAGGGCATGGGATAATATATATTTCATGCTTATAATTGTGTGTGAATGTTGAGGCATGATGTCGAGTGTGTGTGTCGAGTCAATAGCGAGTTATCGCTAGACGCGTGTTACGCGGTCGTTTGTTTCTCGCGCGCGGTTTTTATTTTTGTCGTGCGCGGTTTCTATTTTGTCCTGTGTCGAACGTTCGGTGTGTCGCAGGTGTGTGTGCAGCAGACCCATCAAGAACTCAAGGATGAGTTTGTGATGAAGAGCCCGAGCCTTGGTGTCAAGCCTCAAGTGATTTCGAAGCTCGCCAAAAGGGTACACCTCAAGATATTGAAGATAGTTACATTACTTTGTGTAGTGTAACATTTCACTTGGTGTAGGCCCTAGTGAAGGGTAGTTTCGAGACCCTTCGTGGTTGGGGACAGTGTGGCACTGTTCCACACCACTGTACCTCGGCTCTTGGGGTTTGTAGGAGCTGGGAGTCATTCCCAACTCGTAACTCTTCATATCTCTTCTATATTGTGTTCTAAGACTATATTGGCTGCCATAGTGCCGTTCGTTCAAACCGATACTGTGTCGTCAATACTTGGTGAAATTGTGCGATCTAAATTGCCTATTGTAGGTGACGTTTAGACGCTCCAGATCCAAGTTGAATCAGGTCATTTGAAGTTGTGACCAGAACGCTATGAACGTTTGAAGCCGCTGTGCAGAAATCCGGCTGTGCACTCTATCTTTCGTTTTAGGCACATTGGAGCCTATTGTGACTATAACAAGTGGTATCAGAGCCCCTTGGAGCAGTTTCGACAATGGCTGGACCTGAGGAAAGGGGTGGCAGAGGTGCTGGTGGCAGAGGAGAAGCCAAGCTCAAGGCCAACCCCGTGATTCAGCCATGCGCCTGCTGTGCAATCAAGTGTTGGCCCATATAGGGAAGAGCCTAGAGTGTTTGGCCCTTGACAAGTTCAATGGTGACAACTTTGCTGAGTGGTCCTTCAGAATGGAGAACATATTTGACCACTATGACCTGCTGGAGGTAATGGAAGGAACGGAGAAGCGTCCCCGAGAACGACCCGGAGAAGAGCCCGTGGGTGCGGAAGAGCGCACAAGGCTACCTCCTACTTGGGCAAGCGTTGGGGAGCAGCCAAATCCGTCACATCAAGCCTTTCCAGTGTGAACCAGAGAAGGGACCAAAGGCATGGGCTGCTCTCAAGGGTGTACACGCTCCTGCAACAGCGGCGGTAGCTGTGTGTTGGAACGGCAAATGGCGACACTACGAATTGAAGAGGATGAAGCGGGTGAAAGAACGGGTGCAGAAATTCTTCGACTTGTTGACGCAGCTTGAGGGAGCTGATTTGAACTATAGTGAGCTCCAAAAGAAGACCAAGTTGCTGGCCCTACTCCCTGAGTCATGGTCCTCGCTCATCATCAACCTTAATCGCGACTTGCCCCGCCTCTCGCTTGAAGACGTGAAGCGAGCTATCCTTCAAGAGGATTTCCGCCGCCGTGAGTTGGTGAGGCGGATGGCGCTGGGGCAGCGAGCATCGGCGTGGATATGGTCGAGGAAGAGGTAGAGGACGTAGGGGAGGAAGTTTTGGTGGCAGCAACTTAGGCGGAGCGCGGGGAGTGGCGGTTACAGCAGCGACGACAAAGAGCTACGGACGCGTTGCGGCCGATTTGACGGCGAGTGTCACTATTGCCACAAGAGCGGACACATGTGGCGCGGACTGCTACAAA